ACGTGTCAAATTTTGGAGAAATGCTCGTTGGAGACAGTTATTTCGACGTATTATAAATATGAGTCTTAATATTAGGATTTACGTGTGTTTAATTGTTGTACTATACTCAAAATTTACTCAAAATATCCAAGTTAACATGAGAAAAGAGTTGTTGTTGAGAAATGTACGTTGAAAACCCATATTTTACACAATAAGAATTTACTTTCTTTTATCAATTGCTCTTTACTGCACTTATTTTACTTTGAAGTTCTTTTCTTCGTTGCATTTCCTTTACAAACTTTTGCAAAGTTTAATCTTTTTATACTAATGAATGATGTCAAAGTGTTCATCACTTTTCCAGAAATACATTAATACAATAGTTATGTCCTCAGGACTCACTGGTTGATCCTGCAAGTAAACCAAATTTTTAGAAGACCATCGGTTGTTTACCAATTTTCACGGTAAACAGGGTGCAACTATACTTTTAAGTTAGACTTGAATTTAGGATATCACCAAATTATGATGAACGAGCGTGACATTCATAAAACGCATTTAGAAACTATTTTGTGTCGGCTAAATACATATGGACCCACTGCTCTACGCTAACCAAAGACCCAATAACATGAGGCCCACTTATTCTACTTGCTTCATCAAGCACAAAGTATAAATACCTTCGTAAAAGGATTTCAGGTATACAATATCTAATCTCCTTCATTTCTATTACGGTTATGTAAAACCCTAAATTGACTTGGGCATTGAAGTATTAATTATGCATGTACCCCCTATGAATCATCGTATCGGATATTAGCAATGACGATTCAAGACCGACACTGATCAACAATATTAATTCGAGATTAAAGTCCCCAATTCAAGAAGCACCATGATTGAAACCTTTGATCCATAATGTCACATTGCTAAATCATTGACGAATCTTTGTTCCACCGTAGCTTCCGTGATTTTCTCATTTCTAGTTCTACAATGGAACAATAGCGCCTTCTGTGGGAAACTACTTCTGATTTCTAAGATTTCCATGATTTTTCATTTGATTTTCATATATGAAATCCGAAAGCGTTTCAGGAGAAGAAATTGAAGTCTTAAAAACCCAAAATTTCATATCTATTTTATTTGTATCTTTCGAAATCCAATCTACCTTCAATCAATCGTTCGTATTCCTTTTTAACCATCACAAGAGGATGTTGACAGACGCCTAACTCTCTAGACTTAGATCTATGACCTGTCGATCAGTCGAGCCCATGTTTGGTTTTAGCCGGCCCAAAACTTCAATCTATAACTCTTGACAATGAACTGGAGGAAAGAAAGAACAAAAGGAATCACTTCCAAGAGATATGGAAGCACAAGTGCCACCATACCTGGCTCGCACCGAATTTCTCATCATCGTAAAAGTCTCATGGTGGATGTCTCATCATCGTACTGATCCGAGATCAGTCCTAGTCGACCACCAAAGGCTCGGGACTACAAAAACATAACGAATTTATGAGATAAAGAGCAGTCCCAAGTGTGGGGTAACTCAGGGGATCAAGTAGTCGAACGGATGACAAGTCAATGGAGTAAATAAGGGCCACATGGCTCTCCATCGACTAGAGAAGTCCTCTTTATAGGTCAATTTGTGGATTTGTTTATAGATGATATCTTGATATATTCAAAGTTTGATAAGGAGCATGTGGAGCATCTGATAGTTATGTTACAAACCTTCAAGGATAAGAAGTTGTATACGAAGTTGTCCAAGTGCGGGTTCTGGTTGCGGGAAATGAGCTTCCTTAGCCACATGATTTCTAGTGGTGGTATTGTTGTTGGTCTATCGAAATAGATGTTGTGTTACAATGGGAGACTCGGAAGTCTGTTAGGGAGACTAAAAGCTTTCTTGGTTTGCCTGGTTACTACAAGAAGTTTATTTAAGGCTTTTCTAAGTTAGCTTTGACGTTGACTCAATTGACTCGTAAGGGCGGTGGTCAGAATGGTGAGCCACATGATTATGTTGATGATTTCCAACTTGGAAATGATGTAACTATTCCAACAAATGATGATGGAGAAGAGACTGATGTGCTATGAGATTAGAATCTTGGGGAAGCTCCATAATCATCTCAAGTTCAACATAGGATATATAACAGACAGAGACAACCTTCTACAAGGTATAATTATGATAAGTATGCGACCTTGACTGATGAGGGCAAACCTAAGTGTTTTCATAAGGCCATGGAAAGTGATGAAAATCAAAATTGGTTGGATGCAATTGCATGATAAGATGAAATCATTTCATGATAATCCCACTTATTATTTAGTAAAGTCGCGTGAATGAAAAAGGACTTTGGAAAACAAGTAGATTTATAGAATTAAACATGAAAGAAATTATAAGTCTCCAAGATATAAACCTATATTAGTGGTAAAAGGTTTCTGTCAAAGAAAGGGTGTTGATTTTACTGAGATTTTCTCATTTGTTGTAAATATGTCATCAATTAGAATTGTGTTGAGTTTTGTTGGTACTCTTGATTTAGAGGTTGAGTAAATGGATTTGAAAACATCTTTCCTTCATGGTGATTTGGAGGAAGATATCTACATGAAATAACCTGATGGTTTTCACGTTAAACAAAAAGAAGATCATGTGTGTTGATTGAGAAATATTTTATATAGGTTGAAGCAAACTCCCAGGCAATGATACAAAAAGTTTGAGTTTGCTATGTGCGATCAAGGATACTAGAAGACTACTTCAGATTATTGTGTATTTGTTATAAATTTTTTCAATGATGACTTCATTATCCTGTTGTTATATGTTGATGATATTCTTATTATATGGGAAAATATTTTTAACATTGACATAGGCGAGATATGGGAGTCAATAAATAGATTTTTGGCATTAGAATCATGTGTGACTTAAAGGAAAAGAAACTTTGCATATCACAAGAATATTATCGAAAAAGTGTTGCAAAGATTCTAAATGAAAAGTTCTAAGGCGGCAAACACTCCTCTTGCTACTCATTTCAAGTTAAGTTCTAACCAAAGTCCTTCAAGTGAATATGAAATGTTTAATATGAAACATGTTTCTTATGCGTTTGCTATGCGTAATTTCATGTATGCAATGGTATGTACAAGATCAGATATAGCATATGTTATTGGTACACTCAATAGATTTTTATCAAATTCATGTAGACATCATTAGAATGTTGTAAAATGGATTTTAAAATATCTTCGTGGTAGTACTTATGTGAGGCTTTGCTTTAGTGAAGATAAGCCTACTCTAGAAGAGGTACTCCGCCTGTGATATGGCTGGAGACATTAATTCCATAAAGTCCACTTCAGACTACATGATTAAATTTGCAAGGGGAGTTACGGAAGAGCAAGTCACAATACAAAAGTGTGTAACACTGTCTAATATAGAGACAGGGTTCATTATCATTAGTGATGCATGAAAAAAGTTACTATGGTTGAAGAAATTTTTGCAAGAGCTTGGGTTTGTTCAAGACTAATATGTGTTATTTGTTGATAGTCAAAGTGATATTCATCTTGGTGAGAATCTGACTTTTCATAATAGGTCCAAGCAAATTGATGTGAGATATTATTAGATACGTGATGTTTTGAATGCTAAGTTATTGGAGTTAGCTAAAGTTCATACAAATGATAATTGTTCTGATATGATGACTAAAGTGTTATCAAGAGGGAAGTTTGAAGCTTGTTGTGATATCATCGGTTTGCCGATTTTCTCCAACTAGTTATGAGGGGAGATTTGTTGGGTTTGGACTCCCTTCTTATGTGAAGAAAGACCCAAATATGTTAGCCCATTTGTGTATCACTTATTTAAGTGGAGAGTATCAATTTAAGGTTGAGAGAGAGGGAGAGAGAAAAAAGGCACAAAAAACAATTTCAAAAGAGAGAAAAATGGAAAGAACCTTATTCCCATTTTCCTGCAACCAGTCTAAATAAATTGACAATTTCGAATTTGTTAACCATAAAAATCGAGCTCATAATTTGAGGGCGTGTTTGAAACAACTGCATCTGCGTCTTGACCGTTCGAATATGTAAAATGAAGTTTGAGCTAAGAGATATTGGCATCACACTGAAGTTGCAAATTTAGGTATTTTCAACTTCTTCTTTTTTATTCGAAAGCTAGTTTACTTTGTTATTTTTTTGTTATTAGCATTAACTTGTGAATGACTTTGATACTCTCTTATATTTTTATTTAATTATAGTGGAGATATTTCTTTGATACGGACAACTCATAGTTTTTTACTCTTATATTGAAGATTTTCCACATTAAAATATTTGTGATTTTTAATTTCTTTATTCATTCTATTTGATGCCATATATTTGATGTTAATCCTTATAAATTCCTAAATTTTATAGCCACAACGTGTTGGTTTCTTATTCTGTTTTAATTTTCCACCATTTTACTTCATGTGAAAAAATCTCATAACTCTTAAATATTGTTGTTAGATGTAGTGAAGAATTGAACAACCAATCATGTCACATTGACAAAGTTGTTAGGAATTGTATTGAAGATTTGAAAGCCAATCATGTCACATTGACAAAGTTGTTAGAACTTGTGTTGGATTATGCAACACATGAACATGAAAAAGGATGAAAATATCATCATAATAGTCACACAAATGAATTCTATAAAGTTGCACATTCATATCAATCATATGGATCTTGATTAGTGTGTGATAATAGCTATCTGAATCATTATAAATAGCATCAATACATCTTAAGGTGCTGCAATCCTTTAATTTTGAAAAGAAATATTTAATAGATTATTAGATTCTGCAATTTATAGCAGACAAAGAACAAGGTCGTGTAGTTGTAAAGTGATGCTGTAACTTACAGAACACCAATATATACTATTTAAACCCCCCACATACAGCAGTTGAAATTATCATGAAAAAAATACACTATTTACCTAACAAACACATAATAAAGGGATCTAACTGAATCTTATCATGTCCTCTTTTTCATGTTCTTCATCTTGCACTGATCTCACCTCTTCATTCTCATGTGATAATTAAATTTAATCATGAATCCTGTATTGGAACTAGTTGAAGTTTGCCTCCATATATCTCTGGGAGCTGACTCTCATCGATCTCTTCTAACAAAGTCGATTTCAGCTTCTTGTTCTCCACAAATACTATCTGCAAAATATTCATCTCTTAGAACATACCAGTTCTCAGAAACATGTAGTACTTCATTTACACATGAAATTACAATTTCGAAGTGTTACCTTCTTCTTGGTATTGTCATCAATGAAAGGATAAACAAGTTTCCATACTTTCATAAACATGTAAGGAGCATGAACTATGAACAATTTTCCCAATCTCTCTGGATAATAATCCTGTAGAATGGTTAGAGCGCCAAGGTATCCGCGAAGATCACTGTTTACATATCCCCATCCCTTAATATCTGCAATAGCGAGAAACTTTTCTTCCCCTGCTGGAATCCTGTCACATAGTTTCTCGAGCGCAAAAACTACATATCCTGCATACACAAAAAGTATGTGTCATAAATTAAACGTAATCAAATGTGTCGTGTCTCTAACACCAGACACCAAATATACTCTTAATCACATATGTCGTGCTACAAGTGAAAGTATTATATACTAATTAGCATCTCAGGTGAAAGAAAAGAAACATACTTTTGAATGCTTCTAAACCATTTTTGTTTTGAAAATGTTTAGCAGCAAATGCAACAGTTATAGGTCGACCCTTTTTATCCACTCCTTGAACATACATCTTCTCCTGTGCAAGATCATCACGGATCTCCGAAGGCGAAAAAGACCCATTTGGAACAAATGAATGCTTCCATTTCAAGTACTTGAGAAACATAGCTGAAGCTTTCTCTACATCTAAATCACGAGCTCTCAAGAATCTTCGAATCGTCAAATCATCTACTTCCTGCCCAACAAGGCTCAAATCAATTCCAATCCAACTACTTCATTCACATCTAAGCCTAATCAGTAATAGTAAACAACATGGGCATCATAAATTTTGCATTTTTATCACAACCCAAGATTTTCAGTTTAAAAAAAAAGTCAAACTTAGAGACAAGAATGAACATCCATTGTTTGGCAGTAGTACCTTAGAAGAAGGGTCGCGGGCTTCAACAAGAGTTCTCATGAGACTGATTTTCTTGAGCTCTGCTTCTGTGCTGTCTTTCAATGCTCCATCATCTTGAAGTACAACACCTTGAGCCTTTGCTTCATCTTTAGCCAATAAATCTTGATTGGAATCCAACTCTGGTTTTGCAGATTCATTGCTCGCAGTTTCCATTCCCTTGTTGAAAATTGAATTCACCAATTTTGATCTTTGGTCGTGTAAGGCATTTATCTGTTTCGTGAGGTTCAAATAAACGTCGAATCTGCTATTGACGTGAGTATTATGTCCTCTCAACTACCCAATTGGGTTAGGTTTGAGCTTAAATTTTCATTTTCATGTTTGCCAAAATTTGAGGCCACATTAGTTTGAGTATTAATTATTGCCCTTTTGAACAAGCCAAGTAATGGAGTAGTTTATTTCCTTTAAGAAATGAACTTTTGGATCATTATGAATTTTTGGATGCTTAATTAGTTGGAGTAAGCTAAGTTAATTTCTACAATACCGTTGGCCTTAATTAGAGTTGTTATACTAGTGTTATTTATTTATGGCTTTGGAGATATTTGTCATGAGGAAATGTATTAAATGTTCGTGCGTTTAAAATGACCTTGTAGCAAAGGAAAATTATGGTCCGTTGAATGTATGGGTGCACTTGCCATTTGCCATGTATGGTAGGAAATGAATTTGCATTATTAAGGCCACGTGGTTACCCATGAACAAATCATATTCATCATTCTCAAGCTATGAAACTCATACAGTTACGTCTCTCACAATATATGGATCTGACTTTTACAAATATTTGAGAGTCGTATCATATTCGTGCACATATGTTAGATAATTTACAAATTTCTCTAAGATAATTGTTTTTATATTTAACGCTCTTTACATCAGTATATGACATCCGCATAACACTCATAGCAAGTGTTGGATTGCTTAGACAAATGTTATAAGTAATTGTAATTTTCTTTGTTTCGACGCATCTTATACATTCTTTGAATACATTTCAAACACATCTACAAATGTTAAAGATATATGATAAAATGTTATTGATCAATGAGGAGTTCGATATATTAAATTTGATTAGAAAATTTTAGCTTTTGTTAATAATAGATGAAAAAAGTCCTAAACTAGAAAGCAGGAGAATCTTAAACTATAAAACAATAAATCTAAAACTAGAAAGTAGAAAAAAAAATTCCCTGCACTTAAATCTGACATTGTCCTCAATGGTAACAGAAATAAATAAGAGAAAGGAATGATAGAACTTGCAGCGAGGTCATTCATTATTTTTTGGAAAAATGAAATTGAGATTGATAACGATCGATCTCGTTATTTTCCTACAAAGACAAGCTAAAACAAAAGCAAAATCATTAAATTAAAAACCTATGTGTTGCCTCTCTCGCAACACATTATTTAATGTCGATTAGCTCGACTTGTTTGTCCTTTTTTCAGCTCTAAATCCTCAACATCGTGCCCTTCAGCTTTAGGGCTCCATTTGAACATCTTCAACCATTTCTCATGTATTTTATCTTTCTCTCTTTGTCTTTTGTGGGGAGATTCATACTTGAGATCTAGTGGTAGAGGTTTCTTCTTCACCTTTCGGATCATCCTGTGTGCTAGAGCTAAGCATTCTTTCTTAAAGTTATGGCCTTGAGTAGTAGGGCTTTCATCTAACACCTTCTCGTAAGTCTCGATTTCTTTGTCTTTTATATCCTAGATGATGTCGCTCACTAGGTATGCTTGTGCTATGTCAAGGGGAATTTGGTCAAAGGGGGACTCATCGACCTGTCTTTCAACTATGATGAATCTACGACGAGTATTCTTAAAAGTGTGGCTTTTTATAAGTTTGGACAATATGAACTCAATATTTTCATCCCCTACTTCTAACGTGAGTTGCCCGCGCTTAACATCCATAACTGCTTCGGGTATGAAGAGGAATTGTCTTCCTAATAGGATTGAGATTTCAGTGTCTTCACGTATATCCATCACAACAAAGTCTGTAGGAATGATCAATTACCATATCCTTATTTGCACATCTTCTACAATTCCTACATGATACTTGATTGTTCTATCTGCCAGCTGCAGAGATATTATAGTGGGATGTATACCACTAAGGTCTAGTTTTTAATAGACAAACAAAAGATTCAAACTCACACTCACCCTAGATCACATAAAGCTTTTTTGAAACTCAACGTGGCTATAATACAGGGAACTAAAAAGCTCCCAAGATCTTTTAATTTCTTAGGCAACTCATTTTGAATGACAGTGTTGCACTCTTTTGTCAGCATTACATCTAACAATTGGAATTCGGCACTGGTGTGGCCAAACGCTCCACAAATTTTGCAACTAACGCTTACGATGGTTGTTGCAGCGGTAATGGTAATGCTCATGTTGTCAATCTTCTAGGTCAGAGCATACATTTTTGGGTCACCCTTATACCACCCCTCTGGCTATTTTTCTCTAGGGGAGCGCATTCGCTCCTCCATTGGTAATGATTGTGAGCCATGTATTCTATGAGCGGGTAGGCGTCATTAAATGACTTATTCATAAGATCCATTCATGCGGCAGTATCTATGGTCATTCTCGTGTTGTGGAGAAGACCATTGTAAAAGGTGTAAATTGTAAGCCACTTCTATAATCCGTGATATGGGCATGATTTCATTAGCTTCTTGAATCACTTTTTTAGTTCAAAGAGTGATTATATATTTTTCTACCTAAAGAAGGTAATTTTCTTCGTAAGTTGTGTTAACTTGCTCGGCGGTAAATATCGAGCAAGGAACGCTTTATTAATTTGATTTTGTGTCGTAATGTAATTAGATAGTAGGGATTATATACATTATATGGCTATATCCCGAAGGGAGAATGGGAATAAGTGAAGTCGAATGGCTTCTAGATCGACGACATTGATCTTAAGAGTATCGGCGAATTGCACAAAGATAGAAAAGTGCAAGTTCGAATCTTCCGTTGGATTTTCGAAGAACTAGTTATGTTGCATTACCTGTAGCAGAGAAGGTTTTAATTCAAAATTATTTTACACTATGGCATGGCGAACAATGCTTGAGTGGAGCTCCTCTTTTGAGGGCACAATAAGAAGTGGAAGGAAATATATCAGAGTAATTAAAATCACACAATTGATTAATAGAAGAAAGACTCCAAGTAATATTAAGGATATAAATAACATAAGAAAGTGACATATTAGTTGTGGACACATAACCAATGCCTGCGAATGGCATAAACGTGCCATCAATAGTCATAACTGACATAAATAAAGTGGGAATGTGATGCCCTAGAATCAATGATCCATATAGATAAAGAGATGTCTTATAGACTAGAAGAGTTAAAACCTTCAACAAATGAGACGAACGTGACACATGGGTGAGTGAAAAAAATTGATCTCAAATTAGTATACATGACCAGAACGAAAATCATTAGATTAGAGTGAGACTTAAGTCTGATTTCTTTTGCCAACAACTCATTAGCAATTGAATCGATATTGAGAATAAGAAAACGGTGTAGAACACTTCTACAACGACTCTCAAAATTATCCTAAAAGGTCTTTATAAATTGAACAATACGATGTTCTTCTCTTTGATTAGTGTATGCTTTGACAATTTTTATTTTCTTGATTTTATAAGAGTCAATTGATCCAAACCAAAAAAAAAAAGCCCTGATGTCACTCTCAAAATGATACCATTTTGTAAAGTAGAGTTGTATAAGAGCCCTAATATTTATCTATAGAAGATGAAAAAGTAAAGGAGAAAAAAGAAGTGAGAAATAATAAGAAAAATGATAGAAAAAAAATTAATAAAAAAATTGAGATGATATAGTTGAAACCAAAAAGTGAGAAAACGGTTGTGTGGGGAGTATGCATGCCACGCTTTCCACGTAGGATTCAACATCACCATTCACCAGAACTTTCCACAACAAAGAGCAATTCTCTTATCTTCATCCTTGTTCTCACTTCCTCAACTCAGAATCAGAAAAAGAATATCAAAGACAAATCAAAATGGCTTTGCAAGTGCAGGCCACACTTCATACTACAAGATCCACACGACCTTCATTATTATCTCCAACACTCTCTAGTCCATCTGCTTTGAAGTCATCTTTCTTGTCTCGTTCCCTTAACCTCGTACTTCATCCTAATCAACAACATAGTCTTGTTTATGGACCTCCTAGGTTTACCATGCGTGTAGCTTCCAAACAAACCTATATCTGTCGTGACTGCGGGTTATTTTCCTTCCATCCTTTCTACATCATTCTCTTTCTCTCTTTTTACCATATCAATCAATATAAATGAAATCTTTAATGTTGCAGGTATATTTACAGTGAGAGGAACCCCTTTGAGAAATTGCCTGATAAATACTTCTGCCCTGGTAATTTCTTTGCTTTTGATTCGAATTTTATCAAATTCTTGTTAGTTTAACATTGCCTCAAAATGGTGTTTTACAGTTTGTGGTGCTCCAAAAAGAAGGTTTAAGCCCTATGCTCCACCTGTCAACAAAAATGCAAATGAAAAAGATGTTAGAAAGGCAAGAAAAGCTGAACTTCAAAGAGATGAAGCGATTGGGTCAGTGAACCATTAGTCTTTTTTCTTTATGATCAACTGAATATATATATATATATTTACTCCCCACCTATTATATGTGTTTACTTGATTTGTTATACTGTTTTCATCAGGAAAGCACTTCCTATTGCAGTTGCCGTGGGAGTTGTAGCTCTTGCAGGATTATACTTTTATCTCAACAGCACATTTTAGATGAATGTTTAGCTCATTCTGCTTTAAGTATTCATGTTCTTTTGTTTATTTGGTTCATCAACACTATAGAACAGTTCTATTTTGCTCCTTTTGTTCAATATGTTGTCACAAGTTAAACTGAAAATAAAGCATGAATATAAGAGAAGTGAATTCAAGTTTTCATTCAGATAGTATGTGAAATTGATGTCTTGGGTGACCTGAGAAGATTTTTCAGGGTTATTATTAAGTAAAATGTATGAAACTGATCCAATAGTGTTGAAAAGCATTTGATATTTTCATCAATGCCAAAAGTAAAGCAGACAATACAAGGTTTATAGTTTAGACAAGGGCAAGTTACTATGATCTGCTTGCAATCATGGGGCGAACATGGTCAAAATTTAAATTTCTTCCAGTCACGATTATAGTAATACATTTTCCATAAGACAATTTCTCGAATTACATTGCAAAACGAAGGCACAGTTTATGAATCTTCATGAGCACTTTTATCAAAGAGTACTAAGCTTCTTAGGATTCATTGTAACTAAGCTCTTTATTTTTCTAAACATGCTAGGAATATCAATCAAACTTGATTCAGAAAAACTAAGAAGCCGGCTCTTTTATTGGCTATGGCTTTTATTATGTAAGTTGAAATCAAAATATTGACATGATAGTAATGACTAACTTATGAGAGAAAAATATTTATATTGACAGAAAGTGACTGAATTACAAATGATGGTTATATGAAAACGCTTTCATTCTTGCAAAATAAAAGAACCCTCTATTCTTCTCTCCATGGGCGGAGGGGGTAAATTCAAGGGGGAAAACATATCACTGAAACAGGAGGTTGGTGCAGGCTTGAACTCGTAAGGGCCTTCTTTTTGTCCCCAAACCTGCAATTGAATAAGTAAAAAAAAAAAGTTATGTCTCTGCCTTCTTTTATTGTCTAGGTTTTAAAGTTATTGTAAAGTAATCCATCGAATTATTCAAACTAATGAGTTGAACACTAACTTGATTTCCATCATCATCATAACCACGATCCCAAGTGTGTATCTCACTGTTCTTCATAACCGCAAGTTCTGAAGTACAGTAGGTTGCTCCATTCTGTTCTTAGAAAAAGTATAGATATTAAGACACTGGTATTGGTACATAAAATGAAGAGGATGATAACACAGTAGTTAGAACTGAAAATTACCCATGAATTAGGAAATCCACCAGGTGGGGATGAACCTTCATATAAGCAACGTTTTCCACGTGAACAACGCTTGAGATGTATTGTTGTCAAATGTTCTGCAATATCCTGCAAATCACAGTATATGTCAAGGAAGATCAGCTACTGAAAGGAATTAGAGGTAGTATTAACTTGTTCAAGTATTGGACATTTCAGGGTATTCCAATAGACAACTTAATTATCTTATCTAAGAAACTACCAATCAAAATAAGTTTTATTCAGAAATTCCAAAAAAGATCATTTCATTGATGATGTAGCTAAGTCATTAAAGACATACACTAACAGATATGTGCTCAAAATATAGAAGAAAATGGAGTTTTTTACAGAAAACTATTCTAGTACATTCAAGGTATTTGAGAGACTTGGCTCTCGTATTGAAAAATCTCATCTAAAACCAAAGACATCCTCATCAACATCCCTTATCTTTTATTTATAGACTATCATCTTAGAATTTATAGGCTATCATTATAACCATCTTAAAAGTTTGTGCGGTGAAAAAACTCCCACTAGATCCCTGTAAGGAACCAGATAGAGGGAAGTAGATACTCTCTATTTAAAAGACTTTCAAACAAAAGAAGAATCTTCTAATTTCATACATCCTACATTAATGAGTCATGGATATCAATATTTATCACCATCAAACAAAATTCAGCAGGAATAGAAAAACAGGACTGTTCATTCATATGCTCGATCATCACCTAAATGTGACAGCTGATACTAAGATGCATGGATGCTGTGTAGGCCTTAGTATGGTTTTAAATTGCAGTCCGCAACTGCAATTGCGGCCGCGATATTGCCAATGTGGTAGCCTCCGCAATTGCGTTGTGAATTAAAACTACACATTCGACCGCCATTATAAACCGCATCAGACCATTTCGCCCATGTTTCTTCAAGTATTTTTATCGCAACTCAATTTCAGAACTCCAAAATTCAATGTACTTTATATGCAATGAAAAATCTTAACTAACAAGTGTTTTTTAACAATGTATTTCAAACACCTCTCAATTAAAATTCATGCCGCAACGGCCGCATTGTGCAGCACAGCAACCGCAATGACTGCAATCGCAACACCCATAACTGCATCCGCAACTATAACCGCAATTTAAAACCATGCTTTGTAGTGTACTCCTCATTCATCAATTCCAAGACTTGACGTCAGCAGTTCAGCTGAGATTTTCTAATTGTTTAAATACATAGCCATTTATTGGGCATCCACCAATCCATCTACTGCTGTTATAGACTGATTTTCAAAACATTCTAAAACCTTACATCTTTTGTGTGAGCTTCTTTTCTTTCTTTTCATCACCATACTTCTTTACATCCTAATTATGTTTATCATTATCTTTCTCTCATGTTTGTGTTTAGTTTCTACACTCTCCCTCGACACAATGTTTTTAGACAACCTAAGACTTATATTTACATCATTCTCTTTTCTAACACACTTCTCCCTAAAAGAAAATGATAAGCTAAGATCATAATATGAACAATGAACGTGACTTTATATGCTTACCCCAATGACTTCTTCTGGTTGCGGGCGCTGATCCTTTGCCCGATCACAGAAATTTTTGTATTCCTCCATGTCTCTAATGGCATATGTACTTAACTGCCAGAGAAGAGAAGTTAGCATTCACGCTCTTTAAAACAAGATATAACTTTCACTTTTAACAAGAAAAAGAAGAATATACTATTCTGTAAATAGAAAGGGAAAAAAAACCTAAATTAGAATCATGATTCCATAAATCAGTATAGAAACATAAGGACAAATCCATGTAATGCAGGACAATGGTTAGATCAACTATATTTACATGTTGGCCATTGTTCTCAACATTATACACAAATACTGTACACATGACAGCAGTGTGACTGTGAGTGCTCATCTAACAAAACTGAAATAACTGCATTCAATTATAGTTGACCCTCTAATTCCTACATCACTATTTATGTATACATAAAAACAAATAAATCAGAATAAGTTTAAGTAGTTAAGAAAAAAACCCTTCACAAAGAAGGCGTAGCATATGTTATTTTGTCGATGCCACTAATATTATCGTAAATTATATTAGTTTCTAGAATGGATCCTCTGATGTTAAAATTATGACTCGTCTCTTCAGCTCTCTATTTGGGGCTCCTAGAATTAAAATGGGCGGGGGCATATGAAATTTGTGAATATTTACAACAAAGGAGATAAGGCAAAAAAAATCCAGGGCAAGGATTGTTAGCTAATGTCCTAAAGCAAATGTTTTCGATAGGAAAAAAAACTAAGAAAAATAATTAGACCATTTTTTCTGCACAAATCAGCTTTAGAATATTGGCAAAATCTTATAAGGAACATAACATCTTAGTGAGTGAACACATACCTCAACATCACATTTCAACTCTTTCGGACAAGGTTTCGCCATTAACAACCTCTGCAAAAAAGACATGAACAATAGCAACTAAGATATAGATATCTTTAAATCAGTAACCTAAAAAGTGTATTTCGATGCGGATCCTATCAATCGATCTATCGATCACATTCATAATTCAACCATAAAGAATAGAAGGAAAAACATAATCAAAATACATATAATCTACCTGGCGAAAGGGTTTTTGTGGACTCCTCCAAAAAGCCTAAAAGCACAAAGAAAATCAAGATTGAGCTAATTTTAACAGCATAGATATAAAACATTGAAAACAATTAATCAGATAGAAGAAATACCTGCTCAAAATATAGAACATTAGAACCATCAACTAACTCTGCTGCTGGACATGTAAGCATTCTGCAAATATCTCAACAAAAAATCAAATTAAAAAAAAGATAAATAGGTTAAAGTAATTAAAATCACAAATTGAGAAATAAACCTAATATTGAAATAGTTATCAGGGTCTCTAGAAGCTTGGTCCTTAGAATACTGCATGAAGAATTAGAAAATTCAGAAAAATTATAGAAAGAAAAGAAAAGTGAGAAGAAGAGGTGGAAACCTTTTCGCCGGTGAGTGACTGAGCGACTAAACGAGCATGGTCCCAGCGAGTGGTAGACTTACAGAGACGTTTAACGAGAAGAGCACCACCGATGAAAAGTAGAGCTTTGACTGCTAACCCTCGAGCACGGTTCCATCCATTGGAATCCGTACCCATAATCCTATGGCTTCTGAATAATTTTTCAATAGTGATAGGAATTTATCATGGATTGAAATGATTGTGGAGGAATCTCGGTGGTGGAAGCGGCCAAATAGCGGCGGCCACAACCACAAAAGTGGAAACGATGATTCTAGAACATCATTTCGGGAGGAGTGGCGGAGGGTGTGTGGTAAACTGGTTTCGTTCCTGTCTGCCTTATTGGTGGTTTGTGGAGTGAGTGTAAATCACCTTCATCCAGAATGAGGCCAGCGGTTCTAATTTACTTTCACCCTTTTTGGTTCTACTGATTATTACTAATAACTAACGAGTATTAACCTTTTGTAATGTGCAATTAATAATAATAATTTATAGCATTATAGGAAAAGCAACTTTAAGTTAAATATTGAGTTGCCGTATTCATTTTAGTATTTAGATGATGTTATGTTAATGGATTGGATTCGAGATGATTTGAGATATGATTGAGAAAATTAAATTGATAGATGCAAGCTACACAAAATATGATAAGAGGTTTAAGAATTCGACTTTTAAAATAAGAAATAGTGTTTTTTTTTAACTATTCATACTAAAAGAGTTCATACATTATGGATCGTGAAGAAATTGATGTTTAAATTTAGTGAAAGGGAAGTGTAATTTATTAGATTGTGTTATTAGAATATTAATAGTAATTCATATTTATTTAGTTGTACTATTTTTTTTAGCCCCTAAGTTTGTTAGAGGGTATATTAGTATTTTATTTTATTCTAGTAACCCTAGTTTTAGCTTATAAATAGGGTGACAATCATTGTAACTTTTAATCATGTTTTTGTAGCCGTCATTTTTAATAGAATATTTTCCTTTGTTCATCATTTATTCACCTTTGCACCAACAATTGGTATCTAGAGCTCCGGTTCAGATTCATTGGAAAACACGAGTGAACGTGAGGTCTTGTGTGTTTGATTTTGATTCTTAGATTCGTGTTGAATCTTGAACAAAATCTGATCAGAATTTTATTCTATGGGTTGGGAAACACTGTGTGAGAAATTTGAGTGTACTGTGCAAGGTGAAGATGAACGGAAACGGCAACATGAACACCAAGCTTCCAGTATTTGACGGTAAAAACTGGAATTGTTGGATGATCCAAATGTGTGTACTGTTTGGTGCTCAAGATGTTTTAGATCTTGTCATTGATGGTTATGTTCCGGTAGCAGCAGATGCAACGGATGAACAGAAAAACGCGCAGAAGGAAGTAAGGAAGAAGGATCAGAAAACATTATTCTTTATTCATCAATGTGTTGATGTAAATGTGTTTGAGAAGATTGCAGATTCAACGACAGCAAAGGCTGCGTGGGACACACTGGTTAGATGTTATGGTGGTGACGCATCAGTGAAGAAGGTGAAGCTTCAGTCCTTGAGAAAGCAATATGAGAATCTCAACATGAAGAATAATGAGAAAGTTTCTGAATACATCTCCAGAGTGATTCTGATCACTAATGAGATGAAGGCGTGTGGAGAAACTCTTTCTGAAGAAACAATCATGGAGAAGGTATTGAGATCCCTTACCTCTTGTGGTAGCAATAGAACATTCCAAAGATCTGAGTACCATGAGAATTGAAGAGCTGCAAAGCAGTTTAGAAGCGCAAGAGTTGCGTTTGACTGAGAGAACTTCTGAAAGGGAAGTAGAGCAGCAGGCTCTGAAAGCAACTTCTGATAGGAGGTATCAGAAGCAGTCAGAAGCCAAGAGAAGATCTGATGGTGGTCAGAAGTCAGAAAGCTCAATCTCTGATAGGCAAAAGAATGCTCAGAAGGGAAAAGAGAAGTATGACAAGAAGAAGATCCAATGTTACTGTTGTAAGAAGTTTGGTCACTTTGCTAGAGATTGTTGGTCAAACAAGGAGAAGAAATCAGAAGAAGCAAATATAGCCAGAAGTTCTGATGACGAATCTGTGCTATTGATAGCCTCTGAATCGGATGATATGGATCTGACAGACTGGTGGTATATGGACATTGGCTGTTCAAATCATCTTACTGGAAACAAGAAATGGCTGGTTGACTTTGACTCTGAAAAGAGGACAAAGATCAGATGTGCTGATGACAAATATCTTAATGCAAAAGGTATGGGAAATGTCAGAGTGACTCTGAACAATGGGAAAACAGCATTGATTCAGAACGTGTGGTATGTACCTGGCATCAGAAGCAATCTGATGAGTGTGGGACAATTAATTGAGAAAGGTTTTTCAGTTACCATGAAGGACAATCTTCTGAAGCTGTATGACTACAATCAGAAGTTGATTATGGAGTCAGAACAGGGAAGGAATAGAACATTCAAGGTGAATGTCAGAACTGCAGACTCAGAATGTCTTAGTGCAACATGTGCTGAGAAGGAGAGTGAGTTGTGGCACAGAAGATTTGGTCATTTGAATTTCAGAAGCCTAAAACATCTGAATTCAAAGAAGCTGGTACATGGAATTCCTGCAATTAAGAAGCCTGAGAAGTCATGCAAAGTTTGCATGGAAGGAAAACAACCACGTTTGCCATTTGCGTTAGAAGTTGCTCCAAGAGCAAAACATGCTTTGGGAGTTGTACATTCTGATGTATGTGGTCCATTTCTAGTAGCATCAATTGGAGGAAATAAATACTTTGTGTTATTTGTTGATGAATTCATAAGAATGACATGGGTATCCCTTATTAAGTTCAAACACGAGGTGTTTGATGAATTCAAGAAATTCAGAATGAAGGCTGAGAATCAGAGTGGTCAGAAGTTGAAGATTCTTAGAACTGACGGTGGAGGTGAGTATAACTCCAAAGAGTTCCAGAAGTTCTGTGAGGAGAATGGAATTGAGCATGAGGTTACTGCTCCTTATACCCCTCAACACAATGGTCTTGCTGAAAGAAGAAACCGCATTTTGCTTGATATGGTGAGAAGCATGCTAAAGGAGAAGAAACTTCCTCAGAAGCTCTGGGGAGAAGCTGTTGCCACTGCAACGTATGTACTCAACAGATGTCCTACGAAGAAGTTGAAGGAAATAGTTCCTATGCAGAAGTGGACTGAAGACAAGCAAAGTGTTAGTCATCTGAAGGTGTTTGGTTCTGTTTGCTATAAACATGTTCCAGAAGCCAGAAGACAGAAGCTGGATGATAGAAGCAAAGTGATGATTCTGATAGGGTACCATAGTACAGGTGCATACAAGCTCTATTGTCCAGAAACCAATAAAATTGAATTCAGCAGAGATGTGATTGTGAAGGAATCAGAAGTTTGGAATTGGGATAAGTCTCAATCTGATTCTGATGTTAGAACTTCTGAAGAAAGGTCAGAGTTAAGAATTTCTGAAGTTGGAGTAAATTTTGACGTTGATTCTGACTCTGATAGTGATTCTGACTCTGGAGAAGACTCAGAAGATGAAGGTGACTCTGATGATCCAGACTCTGATGGTAATTCAGATTCTGGTGGAAATTCAGACTCTGAAGATGGCCAAGACTCTGAAAATATGTCAGATCTTGAAGATGGTCAAAGCTCTAGAGGAAGTTAACCATCTGAAGCTGGAAACTCTGAAGCTCAAGACTCTGAACAAGTTCAGAGACCACAAAGAATCAGAAGCGTTCCCAGAAGATTTGCAGAATTTGACATGCTGCAAGACACTGAAGTAGACTCTGAAGGAGAAGTTATTCAGTGTGCCATGTTAGTAGACTCTGAACCTATAAGTACAGAGGAGGCTCTTAAGCAAAAGCTCTGGCTGAAGGCCATGAAAGAAGAACTTGATGCTATAGAGAGAAACAAGACTTGGAAGCTGACAGAACTTCCAAAAGACAAGAAAGCCATCAGCGTCAGATGGGTTTTCAAGCAGAAGTTAAAGCCAGATGGCTCAATTGGCAAACATAAAGCAAGGTTGATAGCCAGAGGATTTCTACAAAAACCTGGGTTGGATTACTCTGAAGTGTTTGCACCTGTAGCAAGACATGAAACAATTAGAATGGTGATTACAATATCTGCTAACAGGAATTGGCCTCTGATGCATTTAGATGTAAAATCTGCATTTCTGAATGGTCCATTAGAAGAAGAAGTTTACGTGTCACAACCTCTTGGATTTGTGAAAAAGAATCGGGAAGGGATGGTGTACAAATTATACAAAGCTCTATATGGATTGAAACAAGCGCCCAGAGCTTGGAATCAGAAGATTGATTCATTTTTCAAGAAGCAAGGCTTTCAGAAATGTGAGATGGAGTACGGTGTCTATGTTCAGCATACTTATGAAGGCAATATGACTCTGGCATGTTTATATGTTGATGATATACTATTGACTGGAAGTTCTGAACAGGAGATAGCCAAGTTCAAGAAAGTTCTGATGAATGAATTTGAAATGACTGATCTAGGCAAAATGACATACTTTCTAGGGATGGAGTTCAGATATTCTGAGAAAGGTATCATTTTGCATCAGCTCAAGTATGAATTAGAACTTCTGAAGAGATTTGATCTGAAGAATTGTAAGATGGCTGTCACACCTTCTGATACAAATCAGAAACTGGATTCAGACTCTGAAGGAAAGGATGTGGACGCTACAACCTTCAAACAGTTGGTTGGTTCTCTGAGGTATCTGTGCAATACCAAACCTGATATCTGCTACTCAGTTGGGATGGTTAGTAGGTTCATGAGTAAACCTAAGTGGTCCCATTACCAAGCTGCTGTCAGGATTCTGAGGTATATCAAAGGAACTCTGAAGTATGGAGTGTTATTTCCCTCTGGAGGAAATAATGAGTCAGAACTTCTGAGTTATTCAGACTCTGATTGGTGTGGAGACAGAGTTGACAGAAGAAGTACATCTGGGTACTTGTTCAAATTTCTGGGAGGTTCCATTTCTTGGTGTTCCAAGAAGCAACCTGTTGTGGCGTTGTCAACCTGTGAAGCTGAATACATTGCAGGTGTTGTTACTGCATGCCAAGCTGTGTGGATTCTGAATCTGTTGCAGGATCTAAAGATTAAAGTAGACAAACCTCTGAAGTTGATGATTGACAACAAGTCTGCA